AAAGAAAATTAAGAGTAAGAGAACTGAGTTACCTGAACGAGTGACGGTTGATGAAGTTCTGGAAATCCGGTGCAGTCGGCTTGTCAGAACATGCGGTAGGAAGAAAAGGTCCGAAATGACAGAGCAAGTTCAGGGGTCCGAATGTTCTCGCGAAGTTCTCAAATGTGAAAATGACCGAAGTCAGCACTTCCTTATATAGGCTAAGTGAGAAGGCGAAGGGTCGCTTCCAAATTCAAAATTTGGGCGGGAAAATCTCTCGGCCATTTATAAGGTGACACCTGTAGCAGGCCGTCGCCTGTCACCGTGCGGCACCTGTCACAGGTGACACGTGACCAGTCACGTGCCGCCTGTGAGGGGCAAATTATTAGGGGATTTTTATCCACCAATCACCGTCTGACAAGTGGACCAACCAGGTTCCGCCATGTGTCCTTCATGAAGGCCAATAGGAGCCTGCCACGTGTCAATCACAGATACGTCCTCTACGGACCAATTGAGACACGCCACGTGTCCACCCATGCCAAATGGGAAAACCGGCCAACAAGGCCCAATCCTGTTTAGAGGCCCGGTCAGCCCTAGGTTTACCCTAAACCTAGAGAGTGGCACGCTTCTCAAGACTATAAATACTTAATTAATCCCCATTAAAGGAAAAAAAATCAATTAATCTCACCTGAAGAACAGAATAGAACAGAGACGTTACGGAACACACTAATAACCGGCTGATCTCGCTAACAAAGCAGATTACCAACATTAAACACACTCACCTAGAGAGACCTTATTACTTTAATTTCCGTATTAATTACTCCTTAATCAGGTACTAACTTGACCGTTGGAGGCGGAGCTCTCAGGAGTCTCCGTTATTTTGCAGGTACAGGCGTCCGGTTCCAGTCTCGGAATTGTAACTCTCCCGCAGGACATCAGAAAACCCCGAAACATATCTGGTTTCGATTTTTGATTTTTATTTTTCAGATTTTCAATTTTTCAGAATTTCAATTTTTCAGATATTCATGTTCATATTTTTCAATTCTTCGTTCTTCGTTTTTCAATTTTTCATATCTTAGTTTTTCAGATTTTCAAATTCTAATCATGTAGAGATACAGTACCGAAATTAAGATGCAAAGATGCGAACTAAGACAATCTGATTAGTTGACACTTCTGGACTTGGACAATCTAGACAGGATAATAATAATAATAATAATAATAATAATAATAATAATAGTAATAATAATAATAATAATAATAATAATAATAATAATAATAATAAAAAGAAAGAGAAAGACCTAATACAACGGAAGAAAGGCCAATCCGTTGTATTAGGTTCAGTTATTCCAAAAAAAGAAGAAAGGAACCTAATCCAACGGATTGGGCAATCCGTTGGATTAGGTATACTACCTAATCCAACGGATTACCCAATCCGTTGGATTAGGTATACTACCTAATCCAACGGATTACCCAATCCGTTGGATTAGGTTCCTTTTACCGTTGTATTAGACCTAATCCAACCTAAGAAAATGTGACGGCTGCTAGCCGTTGTATTAGGTCTAATACAACGGTTTTTAACACCTAATACAACGGAAATAGGGGTTGGATTAGCTCTCAAATGTAGTAGTGATGTGGTCCATCCAGGTAGAGCTTTGGTCGAGAATTCCAATGGGGTCATGCTCAATACTTCTTTTTTCCATGACCTCCCAGAAGACTGACTTAGGCGCATCACAAGTGGCGGATGAGGCCAATTTGGATAGAGCATCCGCCTGAATATTTTCTGACCGGGGCACCTAATTCAGATGGAATTCCTCAAGTGTCCCCGCCTCATCTTTGACCGCCTGAAGGTATTTGATCATTGCCGGGTGGGTGGCCTCATAGTCACCATTGAATTGGCTAACAATCAATTGAGAATTAGAGCAGGCGTCAACTTTTCTTGCCCCTGCCGCCTTACACATGCGTATTCCAGCTAGCAGGTGATCTGTAGCATTTATGCCACCATTTTACCCTTTTTTCACTACAGATTTCCCCCGGATTTGTCACTTGCTTATGCCTCTTTTCACCCCTTTTATCTTGATTTTAGTCACTTTAGCTCCCTCTCGTATCTTCCCTTCCCTTTTGTCTTTTCTTTTAGTTTTTACCTCCTTTTTGTGTGTTTTGACAGCTCCAAGCGCTCGTGTGCGAATCACGAATTAATAGCTCGAGTGGAGATGCCAAAGGATCTTGCCAAGGGATTGAAGATGCCAAAATGGAGAGGGCGCGCTGTTCAGATTGGCCGCGGGCGCGGATAGGAAAACCCTGAAGCCTACAAGAGAAAGTGGAGATGGCGAGCCGCGGGCGCGGAGCATAGGGGCCGCGGGCGCGGCATTTTCTCCCGCTGGCGCGGCATTCTGGGTTTGACGAGGCTATTTACCCAGCTTGGAGAGGGCGCGGTAGCCTGTTCGGAGAGCCCTCTCCCTTGCCCTTTTTCTTCCTTTTGGTAGAAGACTATGAATAGTCTCTTACTTGAGTTTTTCATTCATTGACTATTCCATTGGCCTAAAATCATTTGTAGAGAGAGAATTCCCATGGCTTCTAGAGAGAGAAAACACTAGTGTTGAAGAATCAATCTTTGTAATCAAATATTCAAGCTTTCCTCTAGATTGTTGCTACTACTTTGACGATTTGGTAATCTTTCATCTTTATAATATCAATCTTTACTTCTGTTTCTCTAGTTTTTGATCTTCTTTGTTTTATTGTTCTTACTTGAGTTTACTTTCATAAATATTCAAGCTTTATTAGTTTCTTTGATTTCCTTTCAAGTTAGAAACATGCTAGGTTGTGTTGATATTGAATACATGCTTATGTTAGTTGTTATGGCTATTCCCTTCCTTCTAGCTTAGGTTTTTAGCTAGGGAAGGGGGTGAAAATCATGTGTATTTGACTATCTATTTATTATTGATTGGGATTTATTCTTGAGTTGATGATTTGAGCTATAATATGCTTGGAGTTAGTGTGTGCACCTCTAATCCCAAGAGTCTAGCCCTTGATTGAATGCCTTAGAATGATTTAATCTAGGTGTGAATGATTTCATCGACTTGCTTGAGTAGTTGCATGAGAATGAAAGGTAGAGTTTATACTCCTAGAATCGGTTTCCTATCGGTTTTCATTAGTACTCCTTGTTCATGATTGAATCCCCCTCTCCCTAGTGCTTTTGTCATTGTTATCTCTCTAATCTTGTCCATTTATTTGCATTTAAGAGTGCTTAATCTATTTCCCTTATTTTTAGTTTATTCTAGGCTCAATAGTAGTTGGTTTGTCCATAGGATTCTTCAAACACAAATCTAAATACCCCTTTTTGTCACTAGCAATTTCTCCTCGATTTCGTATTAATTGTGCTAAACCCCCGTTTCCTTGGGAATCGACCCTACCTTACCGCTATCTAAAACAAAATTGAAAGAGTTAGGATAGGAGTTATAAATTGTAATTTTGATCTAGGATAGTGTACTAACGACCTATTGTCCACCGATCAAAATTTTGGCGCCGTTGCCGGGGAAACGACTAGTTTTGCACCGTTATTTGCGTGATTTGTGGATTTTGTTTCTTTTTATTTAGTTCTTTTTCCACTTGCTAGTCATTGCTAATTGTTTGCTTAGCTTTGGTGAATGCAAAGAATATCTCAAGGACCACCTACTCACAACCTTGATCACGAAATCGACCGCACCTTGAGACAAGTCCGTAGACTCTATCAAGAAGAGGGACGAGGTTTTGGTGCTATCTTTGATAGTGAGAGTGATTCTTGTTCCTCACATTCCCAAGGTGACGAAATGGAAGGACAACAAGCGGATGTTTTATTTCGAGAGTTCGGTAATCTGGAGGATTATGAGCTCACTGGTGGGATATTATTACCCGTCACGGAAACTAACTTCACCATCCATCCTCAATACACTCGAATGGTTCAAGCGGAGCAATTCTCGGGTTCACCAAGTGAAGACCCCATTGAGCATCTTGATAGGTTTCTTGAACTTTGTGCCATGATACAAACCAACCAAGTTTCTCAAGAATACATTCGGATGCACCTATTTCGGCAATCTCTTGCGGGGAGAGCAAAGAAATGGCTCAAGCAAGTCAAGCCTAATTCTCTCACAACATGGAGGGAAATTGTCCAAGAATTTTTGAAAAGGTTCATCTCCGAAGAGAAAACCGCCGACATGAGGAGGAAGATAGCATCTTTTGAACAATAGGCGGAGGAAAGCCTTAGTGAAGCTTGGGAGAGGTTTAAAGAGTTGGTGCAAGCATGTCCTCACCATGAATACAACCAAAGCTTACTCATGAGGTTCTTCTATGATGGTTTGGAACCGATGTCTCGAGCTAATTTGGATGTGGGGGCGGGTGGACAATTGATCAAAGTCCCTCAAAATCAAGTTGAAGCAACAATCAAAGAGGTAGTCAAAAACTACTCTTGGGGAGGAAGAAGGAGGAATGCGCCAAAGAAAGGTGGGAAGTATGAGTTGGAGAAAGTCGATCAATTGCAACATCAAATTGAGATGTTGACAAAAGGGCTCGCCAAGTTGAATACAAGTGTTGCTAGTGGTTCAAGCTCCTCCCAAGTCAACTCTTTCTCTTGTCAAAATTGTGGTGGCACCAACCATGATACATCCTATTGTGGAGGGTTAAGCCCGGAGCATGTAGCGGCATACAATACAAGGCAAGAAGGGTATATGGGAAATGGTGGAGGAGTAGCTTGGAGACAACCACCACCCTGATTTGCAACCCAACTTCAACAATGGAATCAACAAGCTCAACAACCATACAACTCCAACACCCAATATCAAAACCCACCTCCATTCCAAACCCAAAATCAAAGAGGAAACTACCTAAGAAACAACCAACACAATAATCAACACCAATACCAAAATCAAACCCAAGCAACTCAAAGAAGTCAAGAGCAAGCATCTCAACCCGATTCTACTCAAACTCAAATTCTTCAACAACTTCAAGCCATGAATCAACAAATGCAAGAATTCAAGGCTCATAACAAGATGGTTGATTCACAACTAGCACAATTAGCCGAGAGGGTTCCTTTCAACTCATCTTCCACTTTGCCCGGACAATCACAAACCAACCCTTCCAATATTGTGAAACCCGACTCTTGCAATTCAATCACATTGAGATCAGGTACATATTATGAGGGTCCCAAGGGAAAGGATGGCAAGGAAAAGAAAGAAGGAGAAGAGAAGATGAGTGAAGATAAAAAAGTTGAAGAAGAGAAGGTTGATGAGAAAGAGAAGAGTATGGAGAAAAAGAAGTCTAAGGATGTGGTGACATCCTCAACTTCTAGTGAGGCTAGAAACCTTGATGGACCGGTTCCTTTTCCCGGTCGGCTTGCGGAGAGAAAATTGAACGATAAATTTGCAAAGTTTCTAAGTGTGATGAAAAACTTACACATTAACCTCCCTTTCATTGATGTTGTCACACAAATGCCCTCATACTTCAAGTTCTTGAAAGACATTCTCACCAACAAAAGAAAGCTCAATGATGAGCTTATCATTCTTCCCCATCAAGTGAGTGCACTTGTTCAACACAAAATGCCCAAGAAGCAAAAGGATCCGGGAAGCTTCACCTTGCCGGTCAAGATTGGGAACATGGAAGCTAGGGTGCCCTAGCCGACCTCGGAGCAAGTGTTAGTTTGATCCCTCTATCCATTGCTCAAAAGCTTAACATTGAGATGATCCCCACAAGGAAAACCATTAAATTGGCCGATCGTTCGGTGAAGCTACCTTGTGGTGAGCTTGAAGATGTCCCTATTCAAGTTGGGCACATCTATGTGCCATGTGACTTTGTAGTGATGGATATGGAAGAAGATGTGGATACCCCTTTGATTTTGGGCCGTGAAGCTCTTAAGACCTTGGGGGCAATAATCAATTGCAAGAACAATACCATTACATGTGAGGTAGCCGATGAAAAACTTGTCTTTGAATTCTCTAAGCTACTCAAGACCCCCATGGTTGAGAAGTGCTAAAGGGTTGATGTTGTTAATGAAGAGCTAGATCATTTGGGAAGGGTTATGATGAGTCCTCAAGATCCAATGGTTGAAGCTCTCATATGTGAGGAAGAGTACTTCTCCCAAGAAGCAAAGGAGTTTGCTATGGCCATTGAAGAAGCCAAAGAGGAGGAAGCGAGTGATCCTAAGCATGACGAGCTAGAACATGAGGAAGAAAAATTGGAGGAGAGTTCTAAGCCTCCTCCCAAGGTAGAACTCAAACCCCTTCCCCCTTCTTTGAAATATGCTTACCTTGGAAATGAAGGGGAATACCCTATTATTGTCAATGCTTCCCTTAATGGTCTTGATTTGGAAAAATTGATTGTTGTTTTGAGAAAGTATAGAAATGTGATAGGGTATAGCATTGATGACATCAAGGGTATTAGCCCTTCTTTATGCATGCATCGTATTCACCTTGAGGATGATCAATCCACCTCCATTGAGCCTCAAAGGAGGTTGAACCCCAACCTCCAAGAGGTTGTCAAGAAAGAAATTTTGAAATTGCGTGAGGCGGGTATAATCTATGCTATCTCCGATAGCAAGTGGGTTAGCCCGGTTCACGTGGTCCCAAAAAGGGTGGAATGACCATTGTTAAGGGAGAAGGAGGAGAGGAAATCTCCACCCGGATGGTGACCAGGTGAAGGATGTGCATTGATTATAGGAAGTTGAACAAGAACACTAAGAAAGATCATTTTCCTCTCCCCTTCATGGACCAAATGTTGGAAAGACTCTTCCATCATGCTTTCTTTTGCTTTTTGAATGGATATTCCGACTTTTTCCAAATTCCTATCCATCCAAATGATCAAAAGAAAACTACTTTTACGTGTCCATATGGGACATTTGCATACCGAAGAATGCCATTCGGGTTATGAAATGCTCCCTCAACTTTCCAACGATGCATGACCTCCATTTTTTTCCGAAATTCTTGAGAATGACATTGAAGTTTTTTATGGATGATTTTAGTGTTGGTGGATCGTCTTTTGACACATGTCTTATTAACCTTGAAAATGTTTTGAAAAGGTGTCAAGAGATGAGTTTAGTGTTGAATTGGGAAAAATGCCTTTTTATGGTCGAGGAAAGTATTGTCCTAGGCCATAAAGTATCAAAAAAGGGCGTTGAAGTAGACTCGGCTAAGGTTTCGGTGATTGCTAAGTTGCCCCCTCCTACCTCCGTCACGCGAGTGAGAGATTTTCTTGGGCATGCCGGTTTTTACCGGAGGTTTATTAAAAAAATTTCATCTATCGCCAAGCCCTTAACCGAGTTACTCAAAAAGGATGTTGTGTTCAATTTTGATGAGGCTTGCCTTGAGGCATTCCAAAAGCTCAAGGAAGACCTCATCTCCTCTCCTGTTGTGCAAGCTCCGGATTGGAGCTTACCTTTTGAGCTAATGTGCGATGCAAGTGATTTTGCAGTAGGTGCCGTACTTGGGAAAAAGAAAGAAGGAAGATCTTGTGTCATCTACTATGCAAGTAGAACGCTTGACGAAGCTCAAAGGAATTATACCACAACGGAGAAGGAAATGCTAGGGGTTGTCTTTGCCATGGATAAGTTCCGGTCTTACCTCATATGCTCAAAGGTGATAGTCTACACGGATCACATAGCAGTCCGCTACCTTATGACCAAAAAGGAAGCAAAACCGCGTCTCATTCGTTGGGTTCTTTCTCTCCAAGACTTTGACATGGAGATGAGAGACAAAAAGGGAGCGGAAAGTTATGTGGCGGATCATCTATCTAGACTTAATTTTGAGACTAAAGAAGATGTGCCTATCAATGAAGAAGTGGGTTTTGAGGCTCTTATGGCCATTGCATCAACATCAAGCCCTTGGTATGCGGACATTGCCAATTACCTAGCATGTGGTGTCGTTCCCCCAGAATTCTGTTCTTAACAAAAGAAAAAGTTTTTCAAGGAAGTGAGGAGGTATTTTTGGAACGACCCTTATTTATGCAAGCAATGTGGAGATGGGCTTTTCAGGAAATGTGTTCCGGATCATGAGATCGAAGGGGTGCTTGAGCATTGTCACTCATTGCCATGTGGTGGGCATGGAGGAGTAGAAAAGACGTGGCCAAGATTTCTCAATCTCTTCTTTGGTGGCCAACAATGCACAAGGATGCCCATAAATTCATTGCTAGATGTGATAAGTGCCAAAGGAGTGGGGGCATAACCAAGCGTGATGAAATGCCTCAACAAAATATTTTGGAGGTTGAACCCTTTGACGTATGGGGGGTCGACTTTATGGGGCCTTTTGTTTCCTCTTGTGGCAATCTCTATATTTTGGTGGCGGTGGACTATGTGACCAAGTGGATCGAAGCTATACCCTCACCCACCAATGACCACAAGGTTGTGCTCAAGCTTCTAAAAAAGATCATCTTCCCAAGATTCGGGGTTCCAACAGTTTTTATTAGTGATGGTGGTTCTCACTTTTCCAAGAAACAACTTGAAGCTCTCCTCAAACGATATGGGGTTCATCATAAAATTGGCCTACCATACCACCCCCAAACTCAAGGGCAAGTGGAAGTATCAAATAGGGAGATCAAGAACCTTCTTGAGAGGATGGTAAACAAGTCTAGAAAGGATCGGTCTCTCAAACTTGATGATACGCTTTGGGCTCTAAGGACGGCTTACAAGACCCCGATTGGTACTACCCCTTACCGATTGGTCTATGGCAAAGCTTGTCATTTGCCGGTTGAGTTAGAGTACAAAGCTTGGTGGGCGATCAAAGAGCTCAATATGGATATGACCTTGGCGGACGAGAAAAGGCTACTTAAGCTCAATGAACTTGAGGAGCTCCGCTATGATGCCTATGAGAACTCAAGACTCTACAAGGAGAGGACCAAGAGGTGGCACGACCAACATATAAGGAACAAGAGCTTTAAGGTTGGGGATAAGGTGTTGTTGTTCAATTATAGGCTACGTTTGTTCCCCGGAAAGCTTTAGTCAAAATGGTCGGGGCCTTTCACAATTTCGAAAACAACTCCTTATGGGTCTTTTTGTAAGGTTTCGTAGTGACCCGACACTACGCGGAAGGAAACCCACCAAGACCCGCCCCTTAATTAAAGCAATTAAACAAGCATAATAAACTTAATCAAACAAGATTAAGGACAAGAATTATACCTTTGACGCGTGCTTCGCTCCTAAAGAGCTCTTACTTCAAAATCCCGAAAAGACAAGATCTCCGACGGATCATACCCTCGACCCGACCCGAGTGTCCTAAGTCTTGAAGGTTAGTCAAGACCCGGACAAAATAACTATGAGTTTTACGAATCAAAGGTTTACTCTTTTCTTAGAGTTGCCTTTTTAATTCCACTCAAGATTGTTTCAAATCCCAATACCAAGCTTGGTATTTATAGGGAAATGATCCCTTGATTTTTCATCCTCCACCAATGTGGGAGAATGTATTTTGCTAATTAATTTATTTCTAAAATAAATTATTAAACAAAACTAATCACAATGCAACAAGTGTCAAATAGAGAGAGAAGGTTAGGTGAGGACCATGAACCTTTGGGGGGACCATTGCCTTGATCCCTAAGGCATGCTCTAAGCCAATTGGTCCCCACTCCCTCAAACCGCCACATACAAGGGGCATGCTGGGCTGCTGCCAGCTGGCACGCCAGCTAGCATGGCGCAGGCCAGCCCAGCCAGCTAGCATGGTGCTGCCCAACAGCCTCTCATGCCTGGTGTTAGGCCATGCTAGGCGCTGGTGCTGGCCAGTGCTAGGCGCTGCTACTGCTGGCAGCCTAGCACTGCCTATCGCACCATGCACACACTCTCTCGCATCGCATCGCTAGCACAGCCATCATGCATGCTGCTAGCGAGCCACGCATGCTGGCCGCATTGACCCTCGCATCATGCGCACACGCCTCCTGCCCACACGCACTGGCTGGTCGCATATGTGCAAGCCTTGCACCTCGCATCACGCACCAGCCATGCGCCATGCACCACACACATGCACATGCATGCGTGGTGCTACAGCTAGCACCCTAGCCAGCCATTGCACGCACACGCACCAGCCCACACGCATCAGTGTGCCTGTGGTGCGAGGCTGCTTGTGCGAGGCCTAGCATCAAGCTGCCGCGCAGCCTCTCGCATGTGCTGCGATGCTTGGTGCTGCCATGCGAAGGCTAGCACACAAGCATACGCACATGGCGCGCCATTTCCAGGAATCCAACCATGCCAGCACTTGGTGCTTGCGATGGTGCTGCCAAGCCAGGCACGCACGCACGCAGTACCTAGTGCTTGTCATGGTGCGCTTGGTACGGCCATTGCCTGCGATAGGCGCCATATGCACCCAGGCACCACGCTAGCATGCTTGCTAGCTGCTATGGGCTGCCTGGTGCTAGTGTGGCTTGCGATAGCTGCCATGCGCACCCAGGCACCCATGCTAGCATGTTGCTAGCTTGCGATGGGCTGTCAGGGCGCGCCTAGGCTGCGATGGTGCCTAGCACACCTTGGTGCGCCTAGCACACACATGGTCCACCTAGGCATGCTATGAGCTAGCCTAGCCTAGCTACGGCTACGCTCATACTTGTTGCTTGTGATTAAGCGACGCTCGGTATCGACGCCCTAGGCTCGATTTTCGACGTCTTTATTCGTAAAACTCTGTCGACTTTTTAAATCCTTTTGGATTAATTTGACGTCTCGGATCGGAGATTCGATTGGGTTCGACCCGAAGGGTTCAGTTAAGATTAAGCTGTAATATCAATTGTACCTTGATATTACTGATCGGAAGCGGCCTCCACCTAGGCATTCCGATCACTTGACCTTACTGAAGAATTAGCTCTGTAATTATTCTGAACCCTCTATCGGAATAATACACTTGTTGGAAGGACACTATTCCTTTCACTTTTGATTTAGAAGCGGATGGGAACAAGTTCATGGTTAACGGCCACCGTTTGAAGCTCTACCATTGCAATGATCAAGTTGGCATGATTGAGTGCATGAGGCTTGATCCGCCAGATCCTAAGCCACTTTCTTGAAGATGA